CAATTGCTTTGATATATTATACATATAGGTACTACATGTGGACCTCTATCAGATTTGTTCATTTTCTAATGATATCTTCTGTTCTTTAATTGCCATGTGCATTGCTAACAGCGGAGCTATCTCAGCCGACAGGCTGCTTGTTTGTTAACCAAAAGGCTTAAAACAAATGAAAATTAGAACAACCTTTTATTTATCTTCAGCGGCCATACTATTCTTGTTAGAATTTATGTGTGCTTATTATGTTTATTACATCTAAGTGGGTTATCATTAGTATTGCTGAGGATCTGAGTTGCATGTAAACGAAAAGTTAAAATTGTTTCAAACAAGTGTATGATTTTTCTCCGGCCAATTCAGTGTGGAAGCACAAGTGTAAAGACAGTCAATGATTTGATTCATGATCTAATCACATACAATGCATGTACTATTCATGCTTTCTTCCAAATACCTTCCAAGTTATTCACTCTGATGTTGGTATATTGCCATTTGAGCCATCATAATAATATTTCTGTATGGAAAAAATAGGAATCAACAATTTTTAGATTAAGTCTAGGTTATAAATAGTTTCACAGTGTGCTTGCATAGTTTGTTAACTGTACATGAATTGTCACACGCATTGGCAGTTTTTGGAGGTGGTGTGATGTCAAAACCCAGCCAAAACAAGCATAAAATAGTTATGATTATGATTTAGGACAGTAAACATACTCATAAAATATTCTGCTAAACTATGTCTACTCAGTGCTAAAAACAAAGGAAAAATCTCAAAAAAGGAATGATTAGTGACAATATTTTTATTTACATTCCGACCCTGTTTCGTGCATATGCAGACACGCAAATAAGCTTCGCATACAGTGTGGAGCTAATTAGCGCTATAAATGAGTGAATTATAGGTATATCTATAGGTGTTTTCGAGTCATGTGCAATTTGTGTATGATTTGAACTTTGAGTGAAACTACAAAGCGCTGCCACCAAGATCAATCACGGTGGTAAATAAATAAATGTAAAGACAGTATTGATAACCTATAAACACGCAACAGACTATTTGAGTTCCTGTTGTGTCTCCTGTTGTTTGGTATAATTAATCACATAACTGTGTTGACCTAGAAACACACAAAACACCAAAGAAACCAATTTGATCTACCCTAAGTGCACTATGTCTGATGTAGTGATCAGGTGTCTTATAACAGACATACAGTATTCTGACGCATCGAATAAAGTAGTCCCATAATAACACATGGGTAAATAAAAAATGATTCAGGTAATCAAAGACTCAATGTTTGCATATACCAGTACTTAGCTTTTTCTGTTGTCTGTGTTTACATTACAGGTGTAGAATTTGGTGCACGAATGATTACAATTGATGGCAAACAAATAAAACTTCAGATATGGGACACAGTAAGTATTGTTAAGAGAGTCACTGACTCCAGTAGTGTTCTCCACAATCCGAAACATCTGCTGGGTGGCCGAATTAGCATAAATTTGCATTTATGTCATGAACTGCAATACACACTAAGTTATTCACTATTCTTTTTTAAATTTAATTGAAACAAGTTACAATCTTTTGAAATACAAACAGATTGGTTAATATCAATATTTACGAAATGCAAGATGTGAAATCGGTGATTTATACGTTCTCAAAATATTCTGCGTTCATGAAATACAGATGTACAATTCGTTTGAGTAACGAAGTGCAAGAACAAAACATAGTTTTATAATGTAGAAAATATACGAGGTGATTTTTCCACAAAGCCGAAACTGACGATTTGTCAAATTAAAACGCATAACATTTTCATTTGTGGGATCAGTACTCACCCGTGCCGACAGACGGTATGATACATTTACACATGCACAGTCAGCTACGACATGTTGCGTTTTCACACAGAGTTGTTTTGGAATTCAAGAAAAAAAGCTAGCAATCGGCAAAATAAAAGAATCTGCTATGTTCTCGAAAGATTTGACATAAAAAATCTATAAAGTGAAAAAGTATCCGGAAAAGATAACTAAAATATATATTCAATTACAAATACTCACGGTAAACTAATACTGCAGCCACATTTGATGTTTTTTTTGTTACCGCTTTCTGAATTCAGTACACGAACACCCAGAATGCACTATTCCCCTATACAACTTAGATACTAAATTGTTACAGCGCCAACAGCGGTGGGTGACCGACGGCCACTGAATGGGGTAGGCCAAAAGGTCATCAATTTGCCTTCTCCATGCTGTTTCACGATGAAAATCAAGTGAACGTTGTAAATAGGCTAGAATTTTCATTTTTGTTTGAGTTTACATGCAATCTGCAGATAAGATTTAAAATGGCTGGCTGGCGGCAATTTTGTTTTAATGAATGTGGTTCTAGTGCCATATCTTTGACTTGCTTTGACTCGTTATGGTCAAATATTCATTATACATCATGTCATAGATATACAGATATATCGGTTTGATGATCCTATGAAAAATGGCCGAATGGTGGCCATTTTTGTGCTAAAAAATCATCAAATATCAAGCATTTCTAGCATTTCTGGAGGGATTTCGTTCAAACTTGGTACATACGTTAGATATTATTAGTTCGTGATGCAAGTCATTTTATTTTTCAGCTTGGATTCAAAATGGCTGACTGGTGGCCATTTTGTTCTAATGAATGGGCTTCTAGAGCCATATCTCTGACATGCTTTGACTGATTATGTTCAAATGTTATATATTCATTATACATCATGTTATATGTATTCAAAATGGCTGATTTTGTTTTAATTAATGCTGTTCCAGAGCAATATCTCTCAATGTGAACAAGTACTCGTTTGACAATCAGATACAAATGTCAATAATTTTAATGTTAAACAATCATCATAATCATATTCCTGACATGGTTATATTCCAACTATATTACTACAAATGTATAAACAAAACTATATATCTTAAATTCGATAACTAATGGGGACTGTGCCATGCATGGCTTGTTTCTTCCTCAGATTCACTCGTACCTTTCAATGTGACAGTATGATCGGTTGATTAATTAACATACTGTTTGTCAGGAGAGACTAATTATCATATAGAGTTGAATGTGCATATATCAGTCAATGTGTTTGTTTTATACCTTCACATATAAGAAAAAAAGATTAACACTAAAAATAGTGATAGTAGTGGATAAATGTTATAGAGCTTTTAATTTTAGCTACAATTTAATATAATAAATATTTATGGTACCACCCACCTAACCAAATATTACAATATTTACACAAATGTGAATATTAAAATTGTTCAAGTCCTAATGTGAAGCTGCAGTTTGTACTATTACAGTTTTGCTCAAATAGTTCAAAGCCTTAACTCTGGGTGCACTTTGTGACATACTATGTAAATACCAAATGTTATGTCGAACAAACTGATATTATACATAAATACAAAACATCTGAACACAAATGTAAGTTAGTTCAGTCTTTTGTTTAGCAGTGCCTTTAACATATTCCTTGCTGAACGTTTTTTTCCCATAAATATTTTGTCTATCAATGGAGGCTCTTCTTGCACTTTCTAAAGGAAATAATTTTCAGATCGTGAATTTTTATCCTTCAACAGTGTTTGAAATTTTTTTGAAACTTTAAAAACTTGCCTGCCCTGCTGAAAATGTTTTCAATATTTTATTTATTTTCAAGTCAGAATAATCTGATACATAATCTGAGTGAGCATCTACATCAGCCAATCTAGTAAGATTGGAAACTCCACTGCTCCATGTGCATCTCCAGCTCTGAAAAGGTGGAGTCAACTGGAACTTGTGCATATGGGCGGGCAGTAATTTCAAACACTACCCTGAAAGTACCAGTATGTGTGACCTTCTGGTGGTGCATATAGCCAGTTTTACCTTCATGACGAAAAGGATAGGTCATGGGTGTGGTTAGCTTTACAAACGTTATTAATACATTGTATGCTAAATGTTTCCAAAAATCCATGGAGCGTGCGTGTGTACGTGTGTGCATGCGTGTGTGTGTGTGCGCGTGTACGCGTGTGTGTGCGCGTGTGCGTGCGCGTGGCAATATGTTCTGCATGGAAGCTAGATGCCTGCTCTAAGTTGATTATTATCATATCATTATCAACCAATTTGTGGTTGTATTGTGATTATTTAACAGAAGTAAATGTAAAGGTGGATGGATGTTCCAATATTTAATAGTTTTTAATTCTTATCCATTGTATAAACCCTTCCCACTGTCCATTGGGTATACACGTCTACAACATGTTTCAGTAATGTAACCTGCCCCATTCAATTCATTCCTTATTCAGTAGCATTTGTTCCATACCCAGTGTGATTCAAGTCATAGTGGACATGTTTCAGTAAGCTAGACTTTAGGATTTATACAATTCTCGCCCACTTATTTGTTAACCCTACCAGGTCTTTTTAGTGTGTATGCCTTTATGGTGTTGGCATTTTTTTTTTTAAAAAAGATAATTTTCCACATTTACATACATATATAATGTATATGTAATACATATAAGTAAAATATATTCATTATGTAAAATTGTATATATTTTTTTTTATGACTGAACTATCTAACACGCTTGAGTTGTTTACACTGAACAGATCACAAAATCCCTCTCTAAAATCATTTCAACATAACATTCATACATAAGCAGCTTGTGTCAGAAACAACAGATTCAACATGATGTTAGACAGTTAATAAAGTATGACTCCCAGGTAGCTGTCAACTGCCACTACCCCATGTGAATTAAATATTTTATACATTGGCAAATAGACATTCTTTTCAAGGAAAGTCATGTTGCATTTGTTAGTCAGTGTCTGCTTTACAATATTGAGCAATTATTTTAATATCACAAATTCTTTTATAATTTAAGATCATCAGCAAAACCTAATTATTGAATTAAAGTTACTGAGAATGTCATTCTAATACTGAATTATAGTAAAGACCCCCTAAGCTGACCTTTCAATTTACCTGAATGTGTTGAAACTTTGTACATACTTACTGTTTGTGAAGATGAATATCTGATACTAGTATCAGTTTGTGCATATTAATTAGCTAACTTTCATACCTTTGCAGCTTGTTTATTATCTTAACAACCATTTGAGTGAAGCAGCTTTAGTTTTGACTCAATCTATACATCAGCATGCACATGGCCTAGACTTTTAATGGTTTTATGTTAGTTACTCAAAGAATACTCATTTCATGCTGAAGTATTTCTAACATGTTTGGTTTTAGGAACCCACTTCTAAACAATTGACCTGAGCAAATGTAATGTAAATGTGCATCCCGCAGTTGTTGCACTCCCCATGAAAATCGTCACCAACTGAAATTTCAACTTATTGGGTGTGTGTAAAATTGTAACCAACCAACACTTGTATATGTTATATATTCACTGCATGGTCTTTAAAGTGCGACGAGTAGTTTTATATGTGACATGTATATTGTTAGCTTCAATCTCATTGTTACTATTTATTGTTTTGCAGGCTGGCCAAGAGTCTTTCCGTTCAATTACAAGGTCGTACTACCGTGGAGCAGCAGGAGCATTACTTGTGTACGACATTACAAGGTACCGTATATACTTCTTGATAAATCTGCAAAAATTTAAAGGCCACCAATCGGTCAATTTTGAACACCTTGAAAAAAATATATGTGTCTAAGTAAGCCAACAGTCAGGGCTCAAAATTCATGGAGGTGATTGCCAAGATGCCTCACCTGAATGCCTTGATGCCCTTCAATATTTCTTTCATCTTTTTAATTAGCTAAAGGTATTTTTTGAAATTTTGGCCATGAAATAGACCATTGCAAAATCCTGTGTTATATGGAAAATCAAACATCCAACAACCGCAAATGAATTTTGTATTCCACACTTTTAATAATATGCTATTGGTGATCAGTTTTGATGAAACAAGGGCCTTTCAATGCCATATTCATTTTGACATTTGATGTTTACACCTTTTACGCATTACGCAAGATCTAAATCATTGGGTGCCCCGTGAAAAACTATGTTCAAGCCTGTAATTGAACTATAAAAAGAAAAATTCAAGTTCATGATCATTTAATGTTCAAACATTACGCGAGATCTAAATCATTGGGTGCCCCGTGAAAAACTAACTTCAAGCCTTTAAAAATGTATTGTTCATTTGAACATTCTTTTACTTTATCATGTTATCTTGTTCTACCAGGAGAGATACCTTTAATCACTTGACCACATGGCTAGAAGACGCTCGCCAGCATTCCAATTCAAATATGGTAATTATGTTAATCGGAAACAAGAGTGACTTAGAAGCTCGGCGTGATGTCAAGAAAGAGGAGGGGGAAGCATTTGCAAGAGAGCATGGGTTGATTTTTATGGAGACCTCAGCCAAGACTGCAGCTAACGTAGAGGAAGCTTTTATTAACACTGCTAAAGAAATTTACGAAAAGATTCAAGAAGGAGTATTTGATATTAACAATGAGGTCAGTACACACATTCCTAGTACTCCCTCGGAATAATTATCATGCATTAGGCCAAGATAAAAAAAAAGGAAATTCTGGTTAATTTCTTTAAAATTGATGTGCACCAAAACATTATTTTTATTTACCTAATATTGTGCAACATCAAACAAAAGGATTACTTTCAATAGTAACTTGTTGAACTCAGTCTAGTTGATAACGTGAAAGTAATAACAAATGGCAAGGCTTGAATAGTTTATCTATGTTCATTGCACATCCTACTAATATATACACATGTATTCAAAGTTTAATATCTAGATCGAACCTGAGGGTGTGATTCTAGTCAAATGTGTACAACAAGTGCAAAGCATGTTTGTAATACTGTACTCAACATTTCATGTCAGTAATTGAACTCAATGGATCGTCTTCAGAAATATGAGCCCCTGAGCTGGCCAGGATGACGCACCTGTTTGATAATCACGGTTTTCATTACTCTGTCATTCCACTCTCTAGCTGACCACATTCTGCAGCTTTATAGGCTCCAATCAAATAAATGCAGAAGATTCAGAAATCTTAATTGAGCAACTTGTATCTTGCATGCATTGAAAACATCGCATAGAAAACAGAGCTTTGGTTTCTGTAAATCGTTTTTTCATTTCTAGAAATTTCCCTGATTTCCGGATTTTATGGCAATCGTTAAGAAAAAAAATTCTGAAAGTCTCTGACACTGCATCTCATAGGAACCCAGAGAAAAATTGTCAATGTGATTTTCAACGGCTCACAAAAATTGCAAAAACCTTCCAAAATGTGTCGGCACTATAGAGGGCGTAGCAGAATATACCAGTCATGGAAGCTCCACATCAACGCAAATAATTTGACGAATTCATTCTTAAAAGAAATAATCATATAAAACAAATTAAAAATTTTCATAGCTGGGCCTGTCTTACGTCAGTAGACAAAATGTGTATCCTTCATCACAGACTTAATTTGCACTCAAACAGTAGAAATTAAAATAAATTGCTGTAGCTGTATATATGGCCAGATTATTGACTCCAGACTCAAACTCCCTCATATTGTTATTACAGGCAAATGGAATCAAACTTGGACCACAACATTCACCAACAAATCCCACCTTACCATCTTCAGGCGGAGGACAACAATCGGGTGGCGGCTGCTGTTAAAGAAGACACCTAGAATTACTGAACACTTGATTTTTATTGTACGTTAGGACTTGGTTGAAAAGTAAAACAGGAAAGTCTCTATGGAAGATGCCTTGAAAGTTCTCCTGAAGTAGACCTAGCGTATGATGAAGTCCAGCAAATTTTGATTTTAATTTAATGCTTTGAATGAGATGCATAAAGAAAAACTGTCAGTGGTTGTTCTAGTATAAAAAAGAATTGTTATAGTATTGTACAGTCAGTTTATTCTAATCTTTTAGATGTAATATTACACTTACCATGCTGTGGTGTGTCCTCCCTATGTTGGCGGTTGGATTATCATAAATTACTCCTTCCTCTTCTAGTGATCTGTTTTAACACAATATGGCAGCCAATGTAGTCTTTTTATGTAATCTTAGGGGGTCCCTGATGCATGGGTAGGCCTTTTATGTAATGTTAAGGGTCCCTGTTGCATGTGAAGTAATCAGCATGGTTTATTTGCAATGACAAACCAAATCACTGAGTTTTAACATTGTCTGTAATTATCATACTTTTATATGTGCTTCGCGATATGTCTGACATCTACTCTAGCTATACATATGCACTGAAAAAAAAAATATTTAAGTTCAAAAGAAAAAATACTATTTAAATTAACGGTGATTGCATGCGTTTAACTGAGAATGGCATGACGTTTCTGTACATATAATCTACAATGCTGGATGATACCTATTCTTTCAGTTCCAAGTGGCTGATGGGATGGATAGACATCATTTTAGTTGATGTAACTGAGTAGTCAGTGGATAGTTTGTGTTTTATCATGTTTATGGTGTTTTTGTTATTATATAGCTTTATTTATTTTAGTATGTTTGGATATGGTTATCCAAACAAACCTGAAACATGACCTATGTTGTCTTTCTGTCTGTGCATAATTATTACTAGACTGTTTTTCGTGGTTAGACGGACACTTAACTTCGTTTCTGGGCATAAATTTTTAACAATTGCCATTCGCAAGTATGTTGTGTAACAACGATCATGGAAGAGTGAAATGTCAATTTTTTGACGCTGTTTACTGAATAGCCTATTTGTGATTACAGTATTCTGTATATAATGGGCCTCATTAGTGTTAAGATTTAGTGATGCCTGATACGTGCGTTGTACCTTGTACACACACAGTATTGCCTCCATCAAAGTTCTCTGAAAAAAAATTCTATTAACATATGAAAAAAAAAAAAATATTTATATATTGAATATTGCCAATCTGTACAACAGCTGTGGCCTTTATGTAATGTACGAGTGGGTATTATTTGTGTTACTGTGGAAGCGTACTGAATGGAGGCTTCACCCGATTCTGACTTCTAGCACAAGTATTTCCTTTCGTTTTATCTAAACCATGGGTTGCGAATGATATGCGTTAACAGGTGGTGGTTGCAGGGTGTATTGTTTACATCAGAAATTGTTTTTTTGAGTTCTATGGTTTGGATGAATTGTGTGAAGGTCACGCATATCACTCTACATCAAAATTGAAATCTACAAAATACAACTGTGAAACCAAACCATTCAAATTTGTTTTTTGTTAAGAAAGAGAAAAAGAAATTTCCAGGGACTGTTAATGATTGCACTTCCTTTCCTTCCTTGGATTGGCATGTAATTCAGGACGCTAAAGTGCGATGAAAGTAAGTTGTATTGTGTATATAAATCGTAAGATCGATTTTGTTTGCAGGGATAATAAACTAATACTCAGAATGCAACAAGACCCTGTACCAACTCAAACTCACTGAATTTTATTTTACAAAATCTGGAACTGTTAAATTCTGCTTTTACTTCTCTCTTTCTCTATATCTTGCAGTGTTATGAACCACATATTCTAATGTGAATTTGGAGTGCAGTTTATAAAATATCGTCACCCTGAATTCCGGCCTCTCATTCTCTTGTTGACTTGTTTAAACTTGATAGTTGATGCAACAACAAATGCATGCCACTCTAAAAAAAAAAAAAAACTGTATAACTTTTACATTACTGTAATTCTTTATTACTTTCATGATATATGTATCCATTGAGTAGGATACAAGATACTGAAAGGCTTTGTGAGTCGCACAATGCTTCTTTTATGTGAGTGGTGTACATTTTTATGCTGGATTTCTGGCTAGATTCTCACTCGTACTCATTTACACAATCCTTGCAATTGCTTCAAAGTGCAATTTAGTGTTCTTAAAATAAACTGGTGAATATTTTCACGTGAAGTTCAGTCAGTGCATATTATTTTCATGACTATTTCTATATATATATCCAGATTCTGAGCTAATACGATATAAATCTTGGAAACATGTTGGCAAAACAGTTGAACTGTCTGTGTATTAATAATAGCTAGTTATTGATGAAATAAAAAGAAATTGCTGTAAACATGTTGATTTGTTGTCACTGTGCCAGATTTGAGTGATTTGTGTGCAATTATGCAACGCAGTAGTCATTTATATAAAAGATACCCGGTAATACACTAGTGTCATGCATTCTTTCACATGTCTGACTGACACAAGGGCTACATGATGAAGTGGAATTCAAATATGTGAACGAAAGCACAACACAAGCATACTATCTGACTTGCAATGTGGCCGCCACACCTGGAGTTTGTACTGGCCAATCATGTGTTGGTATAAATGCGTTTCAGGCTTTGTTTCCATTATTACTCCCCGTTCAGACGAAGGCTGAAAACGGGGACTTATAATTCGGTACCCGTCCGTCCGTCTGTCCGGAGTCATATTTCAGAATCCTCTGGACCGATTCTGTTCATTCTTGGCATGTGCCTAGTACTTTATGTGGGACATATGCACATGCAGTGGTTTAGCGATTTGATTCAAAATGGGTGACTGGTAGCCATCTTGTTTTTTGAAAATGTTGTATTTTGGACATGCTTTGTCAGTTTTCATTCAAATTTGGTACATAGATTATACATGTTAGGATACATGTCCTCCGACCATCCGTGCATCCATCTGTCCCTCCGTCCATGCGTCTGTCCCTGCACCCGTCTTTCCGGAGTCATTTTTCAGAATCCTTTGGACCGATTCCGTTCATTCTTCACATGTGCCGAGTACTTTATGTGGGACATATGCACATGCAGTGGTTTAGCAATTAGATTCAAAATGGCCAACTGGCAGCCATCTCGTTTTTTAAAAATGTTGTATTTTGGACATGCTTTGTCAGTTTTCATTCAAACTTGGTACATAGATTATACATGTTAGGATACATGTCCATGACAGCCATCTGACTTTTTGGCCTTACTACAGGGTTTTTTCCAGAAAAAATGAATAAGAGGGAGCACACACAGGCGAGGGAGTGGAGCGACCAAGCTAGCACAGAAACAATATGACGGATCAACCTGGAAACCCCATATCGAAAGGTTTCTGCACCGTTTTAATGATGTATCTATTGCCATTGAAATATTTTTGGAGTAATTTCAGTGTATTTGGTGTCCAGACACATTGTCAGCTGGTGTTGAGAAAGATTTCATGTTGTACGGCAGCACAGGAGTGTGCGGCTCAAGAAATATATTTATGACTTTAAAGTTCAATCGGTAAGAGGGCGCCAGAAAAACCCCTACTATATTTCCAAGATTTATGTACCATTTTCATTCGTATTTGGCACATACATCATACATGTCTGTTTGTTTCATAATCAGATCAAAGATGGCCGAATAACTGCTGTTTTTATTTTTGACCATATTACTATAAATCTGTTATCATTTTCATTGATATTTAGCATGTCATAAATACATGTACATGTCAATTCAATTTGCAATTTGATCAAATATGGCCGACTGGCGGCCATCTTGTTTGTTTAAAATGTGATAACTTGGACATGCCTTCACGTGTCATCTATTTTTTTCTTTGCTATGTTTTAAACTGGAGGGGTCGTCGTGCAACACGTGTTCGAATTTGATGTAAATAAACAATCTGTTGTATACACCACTAGGGACTCAAGTTTCAAGGACATGTTCACGATAACCCCTCCGCCAAAGAGAACTTTCAAAAATGTAACGGGGACTGTGTCATTTTCAATGACAGTATGGTTTGATAAATATAGTAGAATTGTTGAAAATCAGAGTGGTTTTAGAAAGAAACGAAGCACATTAGATAATATGTTTATTCTGAGCACAATTATTGATAAATATGTATTTCATCTCAATAGTCGATTATATTGTGCTTTTATAGATTATGAAAAAGCATTTGATAGGGTCCACCATATTTCACTATTTTATAAATTAACAAAGGCAGGAATGAGAGGCAG